GGGTCGGTTTTCTGGTGAGGGCATTTACGCCTTTCATATCGCTTCTCAGAGAGACGGAGCGTGGTAGATAAACACAGAGTTGAAGAAGCAAAGAGAGGTAGGAGGTTGAATGTTGATAACGTTGAAGGGGAACGCTGGGTGCGGAGGCCTACGCAAATCGGGCGTCTATCATCCCGATTAGGAAGCTCGCCGATGACATCATTGACGACTTGGGCTCGAAAAGCGAAATCCCCCCCCTGCTGGTCCTCTTGCATCTTGACCTCGAACCACGATGTTCCCACTATGCGCTATGCTTGTCCGCTCAAAAGCCGTGTCTGCTCAGCACTCAGGACTTAGGCTCGATACTAATTGCCATGAACTATCCTGGCAGGTAGCTCACTTGATCTAGGTGTGTACGTGAATGCGCATCGCGATGCGAGAAGGCGTACAGTGAGTATATGCGTCGATATATGCTCCTTGCGAACTGTAATGCTGATCTGCTCGCACTGATGCTTGTGTTTTGTTTGCACCCCTTTCCTTGTGGTCTCCTGGGTGCGCCGCCATCCCATATCTTCGCCCTTGCTCTACTGACAGGGTCATTATTTACAGTTTTTGGACCTCTTCTGCTGCTGCGTTGGGTATGAGCCCCTGCTGGGTACATGCCTACCGCCGTCCCTTTCTCTCATTCTTCGAATTCGCGCCATCGGTGCTCTGCTTCTCTCGCGTTCGCCCCCACTGTCTACCTTGCTACGCCGCCCTCGCTATGGCTATCTCGCGCGACTTCTGCCTTCCTTTCGTGGCTCTTGTGCACCATTGCCTGAACCTGCTCTCGACCTTCATTACTTCGCGCTGCTAAAGCTCTGCCTGCTTGCTGTTACCTTGGTGTTTGCTCTAATGCTCCTGCCACTGGCTCAGGCTCTTGCGGCTTCGGAGGCTTCTCTGTAGGGGTGATAGTGCGAGCATAACTTGACAGGTACGTCCTCAAATGGCTGTTCCACGGAGCGGACGAATGCGAAGATGAGACATGGAAGGATAAGCAAGGTACGAGCGGCTTCGCAGTCCGAGGAAGGGTGCTCGCGTCGAGTGGGTCTCGTGAGGTCACGCTCCTGTTGCGCCGTCGTGCACTCGCTCCTTAGCATAGGTGCGCGTGCCGGCGTCGCACAGCGCTTTGCGAGACCGTCGTCTGGGGGCGAAGAGAACGGGTGTACGTAGTGATATAATCCAATAACCAATTATTATCGTCAAATGTATCGGAGCATGGTCGGCGCAGCTGGAACTGATATACAGCGTGCATAACAGCTGCGAACAGTGTTGTGCACCAGTGAAAATATTGTGACCTACAATGAGTATCGGTGTTGAGAACACTGTCCCTGCACCGTCGGAAACACCTTGAAGAAATGTTGCGAAACTGTGCTCCACATCGGGAATGAGCGTGCAAAACACCTGTGAGAGGCGTAAAAATGTCTACTTGAGGTGTTTTGCACATTTATTCTCGACAGCGCACAAAAATGTCAAGAACACCTTTTTCAGTTGTTCTCTCCCTCCTGTTCCGAACACCT